GCGGTTGCCCCTGGCAACGGGTAGCGACGCATTCGCCATTTTTAATTCCCGTTAAAAATAGGCGCACGCATTAACACGCGACTCTGAGGTAAATTCATCAAAGTTTCACGTCCTCTTCACTCCCCCGCCCCCCCCCCCCACCACAATGTGTGCAATTACTATTATAGGGTCGGTAGATTATAAAATTATAGCGATTACACAGTATTATTGTAGTGCGGGGGATCGGCGCGCCTCACTAAAACCCTACAACGGATCGGCGCGCCTCACACAAATCCTACAACGGATCGGTACGCCTCACACAAATCTTACAATGAATCGGCGCGCCTTACACAAACCTTACAACGGTAGCGTAACGCATTGTAGTGTCGTGGTTAGCACGCCGCGCTACGAACCCGGCGACCCGAGTTCCATTCCCGCTCACGGCCACCACCGGTGACGATTATTTGAACCGGTCCTGGGCCTCCCCTAGCTCGACTCAGCCTCAAAACGAGTAACTGGTGTGGCGTATGAACATCGCCACTGGGGAGACAAAGGCGGCCGGGCCTGGTGGATCTAAGTCCCGGGCGAAGCCGGGTAGTAAAGCTAGTGAAAATATATAACATTTATTGAACAAAGGGTTTTTTGGGGGGTTGATCGCGTACATATGAATGTATCGTTATTTACCCGATCTAACCCCAAAAACTTAATTATGGATCATATTGGTCGTGAAATCCTACGTGTTATACATTTCACTGGATTGTGTTTAAAAGGCAGCTGCATCTCAAGGCATCATTTCCACTCGGTACACTAATTATATTTATATGGCTGTGAATACTTCAAAGGATTATACAGATAACCTATTGAGTGCATTACACTTATCCAGCCAAATATAAGACCACAGTTTAAAAAATAATGGCATTGCTGCAGGGCATTAACAAAATGCATTGCTTTAAAGTTGAGTTTGTTCCTCCCTGCAATTGCTCAAACTAAAATGAGACTTTTACCAGGTAAGGCCCACTGAGCTATAAAGCTCTACAGACGCGACCTGGCCACAAATCATAGCTCAAATGGTTTGTGGACATTTATCTTAAATGTGGTGGGAAAACTCAGAGGACCCGGATACAAAATTTACACGACCACGGGGAGAACATGCAAACTCTAAATATAGAGGCGTCCACAACCTGCATACCAGACGAGGAACAACATCACACGAAGACCCTCCAAAAATATCTTGAGAGCTCAAGTGGGGCTTTACTGGGTAAGGAGCCTTATCAAACTGAATTGTATTTATAAAGCATCACATTTAAACTAATTCTTACACAAGATCCCCTTTCTAGGATTTAAATTGAGTACCTAACAAGACTATAAAGGGGAATGACACATGGGCAGGTATAACTAATGTTTATGCAATGTAATTTGAGCAGTTTTTGCTTAGCTAAGATCACAAGTGTGAATGCTGTATATTAAATACAATACTGTTCCTGCACCCACGTATTTCATCCAAAAGTGAATTGACCATGGCTGATGATGTTTTGAAGCAGAATGGAGTTTTCATGCGCATTGCATACACGCATCTTTTAAACTTTTATTGAAAACGTACTATTCACAGCACATTAACGTGGTTGTTTGCAATGGCCACCTAACTCAATAACCGTTGGGCACATGGTCTGTCAAACAAACGTGCCAATGGCAAAAACGCTCCCTACAAATGAAAATCACATTCGTCAATAACACTGGCAATGGCTCTCGTTACTCACAACTGAGAGAAACCAGCGAGATAAGAGCGGATAATAAGAGTTGGAGGCTACAATTTACACAATGGAGCCTAATTGTGTTTTCATTACTATACGTAAAAACATGTTTTCCTGATGAACAGTTATAATAGCGATTTGATTAGTGGTATATATCGAGTGACGACCCTTCAACAATCAAAGCGTATTGCCGCTAAATTAACTAATTAATTTTAAAAGTTAAATGACAAAAAATTGGTAAAAATAAATGTTCAATACACTTTTATTTTCACTCAAAAATAGAAAACATTATTTGACCCCAGAGTTAATCAAATTTGATGTGCTGAATACAAGTGGGTGGCATGAATAGAGAAAATGAAACATCAAAAGAATACCACCCACTTTTATTCAGCACATCAAATTAAAATTAATTTTGGGGTCAAAATGTACTTTCTACTTTTGAGTGCAAATACAAGTGTGCATTGAAAAACGAATCTTTTTTAAAACAATTTACGGCCAGGAAAGTAAAAAAACATTGCACACAAACGACGCATTCACGCAAGTGTAATAAAGGACTCTTAGGCGATGTTGGTCTCCGTCTCTCCTTTATTGGGTTCTTGTCTCGCACCCCGCAAAGTCCCCGGTCGGACCCGCACCTCTTCTGTCGCGTGCCTTCCGCACGCCGTTCGAGTCCTCCGCTCTCTCTCTGCAGCCACACCGCTGCTCGTGTGCACCGCACACTCTGCAGCCACCCCACTGCTCCGTGTAACTCCGCACACTCTGCAGCCACTCCGCTGCTCCGTGTGCCCCGCACACTCTGCAGCCACTCTGCTGCTCCACGTACACCGCTGGTCGACGGTGCCGTGACTCTGACCGCGTGGCAATTCGTGCCACTCCTCCGCCAGCACCCCGCGTGGCTTCTATCTTCACTCTCTCTCGACCCCTGATCCCCTTCCGGTTCTCACCCTATATCCTCCTTCTCACGTGACCCTCTCTCCTCCTCCTCACGTGACCCTGACTCCGCCCCCACTCACCCCGACGACCAGGCTCCACCTCCCCTAATACTCCGGCCCGCATGAGTGGTGCGGAGGCAGCGCCCACCCTGTCCTTGCTCGCATTACACAAGCACCCGATGCTCTGTTTTGAAGTTGTAAAATGAAACATCTTTGAATTGTATTATGTTTTAAATTAGATAATTGTATTTCTTCATTAAAAGCTTATATCATTTTACATCTGGAAGACTTCATTGCAAATGACATTGTCGTGTGAAATTTCTCTCGTCGTTAAGTAGATGGCCTTGCTGGGGGGTTCGGTTCCATGCGGAATTTCACCTGTTTGGGATTGCGGGATCGAGATAAGGCGACATCGAGCTGGCCGTGCGAGAAGACCGCCGTCTGCAGATCGATTCCAATGTAATCGAACGTCTGTCCCTGCGCCTCCGTCGTTCATGCAGGGCGTGCGTAGGTTTGCAGCGCCCCCTGCATGAAAACGACTGAAAGTGCAGCGTTCATCACAGATAGATAAAGTTGTGCGCTTATATAAGAGTATTATTTGTATATGTACATATTCATTCTAAGATCTCAATCCAGACAAGAACAATAGTTCATTATTGTAATAACAATAGTTCATTATTGTCTGGATAATTGTAATATATTTGAAATCGTGCAATAACATTTCAAGTAAAAAACACGAAAAGGCCCAGGATCGGTGAGACCTGGACCGGTTCTTTAAATAAAATCTTGAATTTGACGACGACGTGTCTGTGTGTACAGCATTTCAACCCGTTGGGCTTCGTAGATCGGAAGATATCAAGCTTCAGAGATTTGAAAGGATATAAACAGACAACAGGGCAAGTTAAATAAAATAGTATAACAAAAGTGGGTTTTCCCATTTGACCTTATTGGTCACCCCGTGCCCTTATAAATCTCAGCGTTCATCATACAAAGCCCCATCACAAGGGAGAAACACAAACACATTAGACAAAAATAACATTCTTGATTTGAAGCTTTCGTGACTGCAGGAATCCATACTCTTTGGTTCTTTCGGTAAAGTCACGTAGGTAGAAAAATAACAGATCACGGCGTTTCGATCGCAACACAAGCAATCGTGATCAGGTGGGACAACCACAGCAAGAAAAAACTGCTTAAGTATGCGAGAGATCTGCCGTGGCACGAGGTTATATTGGCTGTAATGCCTTATGGATCTGAAAACTCAATCTCCATGCGGTTAAAAACCATCGTCCTTGCAGGCTATGGTAATACACGTGTGGGTTGTCACATTTGATCAATGGAGTGACTTATGCAGCCAACTATGGCTGCAAAGTTTGGTCGTACATGTTATGTATATCGTTTATTGTTAAATTTGAATCACAGTTCCTATGATCACTGTTACATTGTTATTATAGCTTTATTTTGGTAATTTTGAAAACGTTTTGGTTTAGCTATGTTTGTTTGTTGTAGTACAGAGTTAGCCTGATAACTTTAATCTACATTGTCTTATGGTTGTTATTGTTTGACTTGCATCCCACTGAGATTTTGCACACAGCGTCAAAATACGGTGTTTTTTTCTGAAATACGATTTTTTTTTTTCTGAAATACGGGTTTTTTTTCTGAAATACGGTGTTTTTTCTGAAAGACTTTGCTGTTTTTTCCGGGATTTTTCTGTTGCGTGTAGTCACTTTAATATGTTTCTTGTTCATGTTTTTGTTTTTTTGCGGTTGCACCGAGTCAAGAGCCACATGGCACACAGGGTTACATCTCCATATACATACAAGGCAAAGTTGTGGATATGTGTGTCTGTTCACCATGTTTAGCGTACTTCCCGACATGCAACAAACTGGAAATTTGCCATGTGGGTACTTTCCAGACTGTTCACCGTGAATTTTATTTTTTATAAAAATACACTTTAGTTTTTTTTGGGGGGGGGAGCTCAATAATGCAGATATTTTTTGCACGGCAAGTGAACTGTAACGTCACATCTGTCACGTGACCCGCGCACGTGGAAGCGTAACGCATTGTAGTGTAGCGGGTAGCGCGCTGCGCTACGAACCCGGCGACCCGAGTTCGATTCCCGCTCATGGCCACCATCGGTCACGATTATATGAACCGGTCTAGGGCCTCCCCTAGGTCGACTCAGCCTCAAACGAGTTACTGGTGTAGTGTGTGAACGTCGCCACTGGGGAGACAAAGGCGGCCGGGCGTGGTGAATCCCCAAGTCCCGGGTGAAGCCGGGTAGTAAAGCTAGTTTACCTAATAAATGAAACTCAAAAAACTGAATGGGTGGAGTGACCTGACCCCATATACGGGCATGGGCCGGCGTGCCGCGTGTGTTCGTTACCACGGCAACCGCGTCCACCGCACAGCTGACCGCAGTTCGGTGTGCAGCGAGCGAGCGCGCACAGCCCCGAACGGGACTTGCTGTGGCCCGCTGCCTCCCCCCGTTGCTATGCCCGTCTACATTCGCAAAGGGCAGCTCGAGGTGCCGCTGCCCTCTCTGGATGGCCACGAGGAGGAGGAGGAGGCGCGCTTCGAGCTCGACCCCGAGCGAGCGTTCGCGCGGCCACCGCAGCCATGGCGGCTGGTCGGGCAGGTGGGGGGCACTGCACGGGCACAACCCCACCCACCTACACCCACCTACACCCACCCACAACCCCACCCACCCCCACACCCCCACCCACCTCACACCCCACCCCCGCACCCACACCCACCCACCCCACCCACCCCACACCCACCCACCCTACACCCCCACCCACCCTACACCCCACACCCCACCCCACCCTACACCCCCACCCTACACCCCCATTCACACCACCCCGGACCCCCACCTACACCAACCCACCCCACACCACCACCCCCCACACCCACCTACACCACCCATCACCCCCACCCACACCCCCCCATCCACACCCCCACCCACCCACACCCCACCCACTTGCGTCGCTCACAGCACCGTCCGTCTTTTCTCGTACCGGTCGCCTACCCCGTAAATTGCGTTGACTAACGCCGTTTTAATATTCTTCGTCCCACCTTTCAGGAACGCATCCCCGACGCAAAACGGGGCATTGCTGTACCTCACAGCCCTTTATTGCCCTGACTTGCAGTGAAGATTGGCGGTCTGGTTCCATGCCCTCATGCTTGTGGTGTCAGCATCACAGATGGGCTCCAGTTCTAAGAATTAACAAGATTGCTTTTGAACAGTTTCAGCATTAAAACTAAAATTCTGACTGGAAAACTAGGTATACAAGATTTATTAAGAAGATAACATGAAGCTTAACGCTTAAAGTAGTCTACGTAGATATAATGCAATCGCACAATGTTTAATGTTTACGAACTGGAAATGCACAAACATGTACATTCAATGCGTGAATGCATTTTGAACACATCTTATGTTTAAACATTGCAACTCAGATTTAATCGAGTAAAAAAGCACGTCAGATTCAAAGTTTACTGAAATGTTAAAGTAATTCACTGCTTTTCAACAAGCTCAGCATTCCATCCATTTGCATGCAAAGGCCCTATGGATTCTGCATGAATTTTGAAAACTCATCATTTCTCAAAATTGCACAATGCTTATCGAATTTTTCACACTAGCCTCAAGCTATAACCCTAAGCTCTACTCAATCTTTAGTAACCTTAACCATAACCCACATTCCGTAACCTTATATCTTAACTATATCTAACCGAATATGTAATCCAAGTTGAATACTGGAGTTCAAAACCTTTTAAACCTTAACATTAAACGTTTACGTTATGTAATCTTAATCCTTACTCTTTACAGTATTTCAAATATCATTAGCTTCATCCTTCACCATAACACCGAGCTTGAACCTAACAATAAGTTACGGCTCTCAACCATAGCCCCTAAATCCAAATCCCCATAAGTCTCACACCCAAGAGATCAACATCGTGCTCATTTTTTGTCGTCGTTCATGTGCCGTTCAGTAGCTCGTAGCGGAAATTCCACATTCCTTTGATGGGAGACACACACCCAAAAGCAATCCCATAAAAGTGACACTTTAAGTAACTTCCCATGCGGGAGTGTTTATGTCAGGGGTGGCCAACCTGTAACAGCCCAATACCCATGAGTTCTGCAAAGAGTCAAGTGCATACATAAGTGTGTGTTATATATGGACAGTTTTCGACACAAATACAGTCGCATGAGACGCCAGTTGGCCACCACTGGACTCTATGCAGAGGGATATGGACCACAGGTGAGCTTGGTGAGTTTGGCAGTCTGCAGCTTTGGCATGTTCTGTGAGCAGGTGTTGGAGCTGGTTCTGGAGCGCACCTGGGCCTCTGTAGAGGGTCGTGAGCAGAGCCGCCAAGAGGAGCGGACGAGATACAAGCCGCCCGTCTATGACCGGCCTCGCAGAGTGGAGGTGAATCACGAAGACGTGGGGATGGGTTTCAAATGTACCACTCGTGAAATGGTCGCCTCGACACAGCTCGGTTTCAATGAAACACACATTTATGTCGAGTACTGCGTTTCTGCGTGAATGTCTTTTTGGATTGTTTTGCTTTTATTCAGCTCCATATTTAGTTTTTTTTACACAGTTTTAGAGGGTCTGTTTATATAATTGTCAACATAATATTATTAGGTTCACCTGTTGGGCAATTCACATAGCTATATTAATCTCTCAGGGGTGATTACAAAATGTTAATTTCTGATTACGTGAGACATTTTTTTAAATTGATGAGTGAATAAAACCCTCTTCATGCTGACTTGTCTGTTCACAATTTTGTGCAGCTGCAACTCCGCTCGCTCCAATTCCCCATGCTCACGTTCCATTGCTCACATCCCCTTGGGTTAGACACTTAGGCGTGTTCCATCTCATTTGTCATTGCCACTGAGGTCATTTTGTCTCCATGGTTTCAGTCACATCATACATTTTTTTTTACTTGCTATATTCATGCATTCACTTAATCTTCATTTCGACAATACATTCTAATTCAATCTAGAGATCAAAATATACTCCGTTCACTAATCAGGCACGCTTAAGCTCTTGCTATTGAGCTGGATATATTTGTCAGGAAGACTACGAGTACTGCATTGTCGTAAAAGTTTGCATATCATATTAAATGCACTCCCAAACGAGTAAATATATCATCAACCACCATGATCTATCCACTGCTGGACAAAGGCCTCCGTCAGCCGTCACCATCTCTGATTGTCTCGCAACGTAGCAAACGAATATATATGTATTGCTCGATTATGTATTTTACGGTTGTACCACGTGTTGTCTGGCACGGTACATGACGTTTTTCTCCATCGTGCCATACATCACGCGGTACAACCCAAAAACACATCAGGTGAGGCAATATGTAGCACAATTGTGAAAATATACGGATAATATTTACACGTGTTTTTATTTGTGTGGTCAGATGCGTGAGGAGGCTCACTGCTTGGCGAGCAGCGCGGATGGCCGTTACATCTTTGTGGGTCTGGATGGAGGTCTCACGGCTCTTGCTGCTGTGGATGAAAATGCTGTGCTCTCCGCCTGGGAACAGAGAGGGACAATGATCACGCAGATTAACACAGCACCAGCCGGAGAGGAAATGAGTGCCATCGCCACGATAGACGACATGGGTATGCAACGTTTTCATGTTCACTTGTTTCGTCAATGTCTATATGACAATTTCTATATCTTTTTTTATTTACAGCTTTCGTGACTGCAGGGATTCATATTCTTGTTTCTTTCGGTAAAGTCACGTGCCTTTACCAAAAGAACCAAGAAGAAATTTCTATATCGTGAACGGATTTTGCTATATGCTTATTGTGCACATGTATAACATTCTTAATGAGTTTACAAAATTAAATGTTGACATTTTCACAACATGCAACATTTATATTTCCATTTGTAATAGTACATTTTTAAGTTTAATTTCATTTCAGTGTTATTTTAGGTTACCAGTGTAGTGTTATGTTGTAACATTGTTATTTAATACACCATACTATTTTAAATCGTTAAACCATTATGATTGATAAAAAGTACCCTAAAGCATCTTTCCAAAATCTATTCGTATGTTGAGAAACAAAAGCCCTCCTCCTGAGTGTTATGTTTCTGTTGTTGCAGGACTTGGTCGTCTGTTTGTATTTTATTCAGAGACTTTTCACCTTGTGAAGACCATTAACGAAGTTGTAAGTTTGCACGGATCTTTACGTAACCGCATTTTCTCAGATAAATAAATGGGACGTAACCATTTTCTTTGTACGTTTAATAACATTGCGGCGTGAAATAACAGCGGCAGCGCATTTGCTACTTTGTTGTGGAGGTTCATGGTTTGATTCCAGCGGACAACCCTGTTATTACTAACGCGGGTATATTAATCATAAAAGCAAGTGCTGTCAGGTTCACAGTGAACGTTAAAGATCCCATCACGTCATTCACAGCAGTAGGCCATTGTGGGCCAGTGTCATGATCCAAGTTTGCCAAAGTTTAAAATTCACCCGCATATTACTCAATTGGGATTATACTTAGCCATCAAAAAAAAACCTGTCAGAATTCTGCTGAAAAAGAGTGGGGGCTTCCTTGAGTAAACAAGCAGAATCATAAAACAAACCTTTGTCATTTTCGAATACATGGTGTTGGTAATACAAATGTGGAATTTGTTCTTTTTGTCAGGAGGATATTTCGAAAAGAACTGTATGCTCTTCCTTCATATTGTCATCCGGTGGTGATTATGGTGGTATAATGTTGCAAGGTAGGGAGAAATGTTATTTGTATGAGGGCAGTCCTCGACTTACGAACCGAATTAGTTCTTGAGACCCGTTCTTAAGTCGGAACACAATAATGCACTGCATTTAAATACCCATACGATCAGTGGTATGCAATTTCTGACAGTTGAATAAAATAGGAAGCATTGTTAAACTCATTACATCAAGTGCGAGTTCGCTTTTTAAGTCAATGTTATTTTTATATTTCATGGAAGCTGGTTCGTAAGTACGGGCGTTTGTAAGTCGCGTGTTCGTAAGTCGATGACTAACATGTCACGCAGCAAACACAAATCCACTAGATGGCAGTACAGCTAAATAAAAATAACATGAATGTGCCATTGTATACAAAACTATTGGAGAAAAGGGCTTGAGCAGGGTTCCAAAATAATATTACCTGTTTATGATCGAATGGTAATAGTAACAGTACGATTAATGTAAACTAAGGTTAGTCTCAAATCATAACCAGTAGATGCCATGGAATTCATTTCACCATGATCATCAAGCATGCGTGTGATTCTCTGCAGGAAATGGAGAATCATGGTTTGAGATTCAAAAGATGCCAAAGGAAGCGTGGCTAAAAGATCTGGAGCAAGCTCAAAGCCAACAGCAGCAAGAGGTTGAGGTAATGTTGTAAATCCCTTGATGGCAGATTACAATCCTGACTTTTAGAAAAGCTAAATAACAGTAGCACTCCTCTTAATCACTTCTACGTTGGACAACTGCTTTTGCCTCTGGGGACCAATAGGTTCTCAGCACTTCCCATTATTCACTGATACCCAAGAGGTTGCAGATACTTTACATGCATGAAATTGTTCAGATTTCATGGCTGTGGGTTACGCAAGTGGCCTAAATTATGCAGTATTTCTCTGGCTTCCAGTTCTACCATTTTAACATTCTCAGTCATGTGGTCACCCTCAGATGCTAGTTTGCAACTAATGTACTCGAACACAGTCACTGTATGTAAAACAATATCTCATATACGATCATTGTAGCTCGGCAAACTATGGGAGTAAATATTGTACACTTAAAAGCATGCAGTGTAAAACCAATCTAATTTTTTTTTTAATCAGGTAAGAGCTCTATGATATTATTTGTAAAATAATCTTGGATAGTCATAGTTATATAGGGACAATCAATTTGTATCTCTTCATGAAAGTGCTTAGAGATTTTGTCGTATTGCATTTATGTATCCATATTTCTTTCGTCCACATATTTTCTGAAAATATATATGAATGCAGGAACATGAACATTTTATAATTATTAATAGTCGCTTTTACAAAACTGTTTTGTCATTAAAAAACGGAAATAATATATAATTGTGGGGTGAGAGTATTAGTGTTGCGCTGTGCTTGGGAAGCAATTTGTGTGAGATGTGTCACGTGGAAATCCAGTTTGTCCACATGCCAACGACAGGAGCACATGAATAATATTACCACTACAGTAATTTGTCGAATAAATAAAATAAATACCCTCACAACTGGTAGATGAAATAAAGCGGAGGTAGCTCTAAATTGCCCCAAGTCAGGCCAGATCTTGTTTAGGATTTTAAGGTTCAGTGAAAATGCCAAAGGCTCCAGCAGCCAAAACTAAAGTAACTTATCAACAATTCTGAGGGTAGAAAATCATTCCAAGCCATGCTGCATGGCTCCTTTGTTGGCAGTTTTGTTGTGTTTCATAAACAAAAAATTCAACTGTGACATTGCCACACTCTGGCCTACTGATACGTTTCTAATCAGCTTGAATTTGTAAGCAAAAGTACATTTTTTAAGAAACTGAATAGATTTGTTTCAGAAATGTTACGCGCGATTTTGGTTTGATATTTATATTCATGGCCCTCGTCTCGTGGCATCCTCCTTTCCACCTGTTTCACTGCGTTGTTGGTCTGCATCCCCGTCCATTTGCTTACGCCACCCTTTTCATTGTCTTTTTGGTCTTCCTTCGAATCTCTGAACGGGTATATGTTCTCATATTATGGCCTTTTTGTGGATAACCTATAAGTTTGCGCATGAGGTGTCCATACAATCATAATTTTGTCTTCATAGACTTAGTCAATTATTTGGTCTCTTGTCAACGATACCATAGCATACATTTGTAATACCACATCTCAAATGCTGCTACATCTGTTGTTGCTCAGTTTTCTTCATCCAACCTTCACATCAATATGTTGCTATGGGCCAAACCAGTGGCTTTAGTAGATGCAGTTTTGTGGTACTCGTAATGTTTATGTTGTTTGAAATTGTGATAATTGAATTCATAGTTGAACAAGCACTTGATGTTGTTTTGCGAATAAATTTCCCTCAATTGCCATCTTCTTCAAAGGTCAAGCCAAGGGAAGCAAAATGAATTAACCTGTTTTAGATCCATGCCCATCATAATATAAGTGATGCTCTAACCCAGGTCTCGCTTGCAAATAGGCAATGTTTTAATGTGCCACAATGGGTTTATTTCTTCTTCTGGTAAACTAAAGGATACAACCGGTATTACATATTTTGCATAATACAAAACATGCTTGTGATGAGAATGTGTTCTCGACTTCAATGGAGGTCATTGTGATAATTCTTTGTCAATTACTGAATTTCCTCTACCTGTTTTTTTCCCTCTTGTTTTTCAGAACGGAATGTTCTTTAGCTTAAAGGGTTTGAGCAATTATACTAAATCCACTTATAAAACCATGACGACCTATTGTTTCCTATGATCTGTTATGATGCCTGTCATTTCAGCAGTTCAGCAATATTGATGTTAAACTTTCTTCTCCAATACTAACTCTGCGGCTTAAATCACCAAAACGACCCTCAGGTATGAATTATATTATCAATATCCAATAATAGACATTACATTTCAAAATATTTTAGAAGAATACGTACACTTTTTTTATCCAATGTTCATTTAATTGAATTTTAATCCACAACAATGAATTAAAGCAATTTTTGCATCACGGAATGGTCCTGTAATCCAGACCTCGAGACTGATAGAGTAGTGATCATCGCTACCTTCCAATTAGTTGCCCTTTGTGTTATTCCTGGCTGTCGCCTCTTCCAAGATCTATTCCAGCACGGAAGAGTAGGGAAAATACCCTTAGGATGGGCTCATTCGTTTCCTTTATTGGAGACGCTTCCGTCAGCAGTGGTGTAAGCAAGCAATTGCAGGGCTACATCTTCTTGGTTATAATAAAATAATAATAATAAAACATAATATAATATAATTCTCACGACGTTTCGGGCACAACGCAAGCAGCCGTCCTCAGGTGAAGACCAGTTCTGTCGGGGAGACAACGCAAGCAGCCGTCCTCAGGTGAAGACCAGGTCTGTCGGGGAGACAACGCAAGCAGCCGTCCTCAGGTGAAGACCAGGTCTGTCGGGGAGACAGCGTCTGTCTCCCCGAGGACGGCTGCTTGCGTTGTGGCCGAAACGTCGTGAGAATTATTTTATAATGTTTTATTTTTATTATTTTATTATTTCCATTCTACGTGACATTTACCGAAAGAACCAAGAAGATGAATCCCTGCGGTCATGCAGGGCTACACTTTTCCCTTCACATCCTCATGCCGATTGTTGATTCAGGCCGCGAGAGACGTCCCGGCCAGGAATCCTCGCAGCTCCCAGAGGAATGGAGCACCCTTGGGACAGGACAGAACCACCTGCTGAGCAGCGCACAGCTGGAGATGCAGCGCCTGCTCTTTCAGCAGAGACACCGAGATGCAGCGGAGCCAGAGCTCAGGTGTTCTGCTGGAACCATTATCACTCTTCTATCGCTACTACCATCGTTACTTTTCCCATGAACGATATTCATTTATTCCTCCACCCATGATAAGGACTTGTTCTACCAGACCGACTGTTTTGTGTCATCCACACAGCGTTCATCCACCGTATTGCAGGTCAAAACGATGCCTCTTTTCGCACACTGCCCGACTCGCTTTCATTGCTCAGCCTTGGCCAATTCAAGAAACCTATTTTTATCTGTTCCACCTTCAATAGTGTAGTTTGTTGCTGGCCACTCTGTGATTTAAAAAAGCCCACATTGAGCAACGTTAATGTTGCATATCGTCTTTAGTTCTCTGCCCAAGGGCATGTCCATGGCTCAAGATTTATTGATCCCATCCCTCCCCCTCTCTTGTTCTGGTAACACTGCACACGTTACGAGAGTTCTTGAGCCTTGACGGGGGAAAATAATTAAGGTGGCTTCCCCTTGCCTACCTCAACGGTGTTTTTTAGGGAACATCGTCACCAAATTGCAGATTAATGTCATGTAACCTCAATGGTGATAACGTTCATAACAATGCGATTAATGGTAAACATTTTAGCGCAGTCGTTTATCATGGCAGTTACAGTTTATTGCTTTATTCAGCCATCAGGAAGCCGACTGCCCCACAAGCAATTGGGGGCTACCTTAAATCGTATCTGAAGTGGCCAAGGGAGGCCCAGTCACCTATTCCAAAGGCATGAGTGATGTGCGCTTGTCCTGAATGGATTTACACCTTAAACATCGGTTTATAGTTGCTACTCAATTCAATTCATGTTCCTATAAAGCAGAATTACGTTGGTCATCCTCTTGGGAATGTTATCTGCTTTGACTGTCTTATGAAAGTGAAAGTAATTGTTTGCTGGTATCATTCATCCCAAATTAGGAAATTGTCACGAACCTAATTATTAAGGAAATTGTTCCTATTCCTGCAGAACTATGGTTGAAAATGTACTCTCACGTCGGAAAAATAATAGGAGTTGTATATGCACTTACTCTCTTTGTACCTCAACCCTTATGCCGATATCCAAGTGGTATCACCAATAACATAAAATTGTGTTCTTACATGGGAAATGAAGAGTTAATCGTAGAATGAAAGTCAGCGCACATTACGCATGCTACATTTTACCATATCGTAATTATTTCCCTGCGATGGGATGATCTCTCCTATTGCAGTCGAGCTACAGTGCACTTTGTGCTGCCATCTCTCGTGCTTCCGGCAGGCCTGGAGTACAAGACGGCGGCAGGTTTGGCTCGCTGTGCAGCATTAAAAACATCGCTTTTATCTGCATCAACTTATTAGTGACTGTGTGGGGGTGGCATTGTGGCACAGTGGTTGGCGCACTGCGCTATGAACCCAACAGCCTGAGCTTGCCTCCCAGCCATGGCGAACGTGAGTGCCGAGTGATATCTGAACTGGTCCCAAGTGCAGCCATGCCGCAATGACCGGGGGTGCTGAAGTATGGTCAAACGACATCCACGACCAATGGTGTGGGGAGACATTTATCCAGCAGTGGATTGACAAAGCATCGCATATATATTAGTTAACAACAGTGATAGTCGTGCTGGCATTTAGTTTTTCTATTATGCAAGACAATGTATATGTAACTAACATTGGTGTCAGTAAAGCATGTGTTGATGTATTTGATTTTCTTTTTTAGGCTTGCCCAATGGTGTTTGCATGTGGTGGAGTGGTAGCCATTTGCTTTTGCACTACACCATTCAAAAAACAGGAAAGGGTAAGCCCAGCCTTGTCATTTTTACTCAATACGTCACACTTATCTAAAACAAACTAGCTCTCTGTTCGATAGCCTACTGGTCAGAAAACCTACCAATTACTTTGTTTTAACAGAGCTGTACATTAGTTGCTCGTGTCACTTTACAGTAGTCCAGGGCAATCCTGTCTGGGATATTTTGCCAGTTAAGAAATGTTTAAAGTCGAAGAAAATACCTGGAATTGATGGAGAAAATCTAAATTTACAATGGTTAACCTACTTTTGCTACCTTTTATTGTGCACTTTATTGCCCTGCTGATGGGCGTCTTGAGCACTGAATTGCACGCATGTTTGTTTGTTGCCTTGCGCCTGCTTGCCAGAGACTGAACCCAAGGCCGATGCAGTGTGGCCAAATGCAGAGCTCATCTGCTGCTCGACCATTAGTGAATGCACAATGCTGCTTGCTCTGGGGTTGAGAGATGGCACCATCACAATCTGGGACAGATATCTTGGTGAGTACTTTCCTTCGCCTTTTGGGGGTAATCTTCAAGAGCATTTTGTGGCAGTTCAATGTTTTATTATTTAATGGTAAGCTTTCAGAGAAAACTGGTACAATGAACATGTTGACGGAGCTTCAAATCTAGAAATATGTTGACGGAGAGCATTTACCATTCCCATCTCACTGCTGCCACAATGAAATAAATTGTTGCGATTTTAGGTCGATTTAATTATTTGTCTCATCTTGTTGTCTCGTTTGTATTGTCTACCTCTTGCCTTCTGGCTGTCTTGTTTGTGCTGCGATTGTCTCGTTCCAATAGCCTTAAGGATATTTTTTGTTTAAATACAATTTCCATATATCATCAGTTTTAAACACATGCATGATTTGATGCATGTCATTCAGCCTAAGGATGGATTTTAATAAATGATTTAATCATTAGATGCCTTGCAGATAGGCAATTCCATTGGGCAGGACACTGCCATGCCAGACATGAAGCTAGAATATATAGGCCTGAATTTCAAGGCAGAAAGTGCCCTTACACTACTGGCATGGGATTTGTGACCAACGTGTTTAAATATAATTCTTATATTCTCTAAAAACAACTGAAGTGGGAAATCTATCATAATCCAAAGCATCTCAAGAAACTGCATGGAATGAGATATATATAAGGGGTAAGATTACTAGAATATATATTATTCATATATTTGTGGCCATTACAAAAATAGCGAGAGGGATGGGATGGGGACACGTGGAGAGAAAAAGGTGATGCACAATTGTGGGTGAAAAAATGTTGTCCAATATTGTGTGGCCATTTATTTTCACAACATTACTTGATGGCCACCATATATTATGTATAGCTACATGCCAGTTGCTGATGTTGCCTAAATTTGTACAAAATCTTCCACTTACTCTAGGTTTACCTTTGACTGTGATGAGCCTCCCTGAGCCTGTTCGGATAGCTGAGTTACATTTTGTCGCTCCAAAAGACCAACATGATCCACCCACACAAGACTATGCAGCGAGTCCAATTGCCTCTCTAATGGCCTTCTGTAAGGACGGCTCAGTGCATATGGTGGAAGTAAATTCTGAAGGCACTTGCGACATCGCCACGATCTGTCAAAGGTAACTGTGACCTGTCTTGAGTTACATGAGTGTTGTTTTTGCGGATCACTTGCTGGGTCACATGGTTTAAATATATGTAGTTTTAAGATTTTCAGCAAGGATGGTATTTCAATTGTACAGCCTCTGACATTGACAGAATGTCACATCTGCGCACTGCCAAGTTGTTATAGTGCTATTTTGTTAAGGTCACAATAATATAGTATACTGAAATCTATTACCTTGGTACTCAGCCTTGCTCTTTGTTGTTACTGTTATGTGTGTAGCAGGAACAATATTGGACGCAGGTCACAATCTGTCTTGCAAAGATATAAGCATGTGAAGTGGTATCTTACCAAATATTTTATGACGAGGTCTTTATGCATGTCATAGTACAAAATATTGAACTGCATGTATAACTGTGCACACATGACCTATTTTGTTATAGTTTGAAATAAAGGTAATGTTTTGTTGTTGTGATGATGGTGTATTTCCTTGTTATACATTTTTCAGGTGTGAAATACAGGAAGATGTAATCACTGCTGTACTTCCTCTACCAATGTTCCCACAGCTGGTAAGATGAGTTGCTGTACAGACATTTTAAGGCATTTTCTTGGAATAAGTTAGGGAATAATAAACTATGGATTGTGTATCCTGCCAAGCACACACACTGTCAATGCCCAGATATACCATGCAGTTTCAATGCAATCCAAGGGATTAAATCCTTTCGCAAGCAATTTCTTGTACCGAAATTGATACACTTGCATTACTATCGCACCATGCGATCGATTGTCATACCGTGGCATGATTTCACACCCGATTGAGCTGGGTTCTGATTTTTTTTAAATTAGGTGCAATCCAACATCCATCCAATCGGTAAGTTTTAACGAGTTGCATTACCACGTCATCATCATCATCAGCCATGATCAATCCACTGCTAGATGAAGGCATCCCCAAGCCATTGGAACAATTCACCCGGCACTTGTACATGAACTGCTCATCACTCCATCTCCTCTGTGGATTAAATCTTGGGCATGTTTCCTCCTTTGGCTGACATTCAGTAGTTATTTTCACCCACAAGCCATCATCTCTTTCAGTGACACATTCTGCTCAAGCCCACTTACTTTGCTGAAAAGTCCATATAATGCCTGAAACGTGCATGTGTTCTTAAATCTATGTGTTCTTGAGAATAGGTTTTCTTCTTTTTTCTGGGAACACAACAGTTGTTAAGATGTTAAAACACCAAACTGAAACCTTTTTGCAAGGAATCATGTCTGTATTAACCACAATACTTGTGGTCAGAATGCAAACAAAAACGTACTATGATATTATATGGATTGTCTTTGAAACTGATTGGTCCACACCAGAGACAGCTTTCTTTGGAAACTCACCTAGTCTCAAAAGGCGTCCTCTGGTCTAACACCGTTTTAAGACGAGGCTTCAAAGAAAGCTGTCTCTGGTGTGGACCAATCAGTTTCAAAGAAAATGCATATATTATCAGTTTTTTGTGAGCATTCACGTTTCCAATCCATATCTTAAATCAGGTAATATGCGTTGATTGAAAGATTTCTTCCTTAGTCATAGTTTGTTTTCTTTATTAGTTCAGCTTTACAAACGTGTTCCAACCTGCGCTTATCTGCCTCTTTATTTTGATACTTTTTTAAAATCTCAGTCTGCCCTTCTATAACCGACCTAGGTAAACATTCTGCTGTGTTTTCGAATGATGTCCTTCTGACAGCTATCTCAGATTGAATTTGTGCATGATAGTTTTTTTGCTCATATTTGTCGTGAGCAAAACTTTGCAGCCCTCTTTATTAAGTTCTAGTATTTCATGTTGTGCATTCCCATTCTAAGTTATAAATTACTATGTCGTCAGCGAATGTAAATGTTTTTTTTTCATTTATAGCCATGCCTTTGTTGTCTCCAATCCAATTTTCTGAAAACATCTCAGGTAGGTGACATGCTTTCGTAAAAAAAAGTGCTTCCAACGATATTGGGAGATGATATCCGGAAATTGGATTGGAGAAAAATAAGCATAAAACATGACTATGTATGCATGTAGGTTTGCGTAAGTGTGAGGAGCGGAAGTCTAGTGGTTAGCGCACTGTGCTACAAACCAGGCTGTCCGAGTTTGATTCCCACTCACGGCCAACACCAGTGATGATTATATGAACCTGTCTTGGGCCTCTTCTAGGTCGACTCAACCTTAAATGAGTACCTGTTGCGGTGTGTAAACATCACCACTAGGGAGACAAAGGCGGCCGGGCATGGTGCTGGCCATCCACCCCCTCGTGTGTGGTGCCGGCCCTCATAGGTGCTCACTAACAGCACTTGCTCCAATGGTCTGTTAAGGCTATAAAGGAATTTTTTGTCTTTGTAAGTGTGATTGTGAGTAAGAGTGCATACATGCGTGTACGAATGTTTCTATGACTCTATGTGTGTACATGTATGTGTGTGCATGCATGTGCCAATGTGTGTACGTCAAGTGAGTTTATGTGTGTCAGAGTGTGTGAATGTATATCCACATGTGCAGGATTGATTTTGTGTGTGAATGTGGGTTGGTGTGTGAGTATACATATATGTGTATATGAAGATGTGTCTGCATCATTCTGTTTTCTCAACTTCTGCCATCCTTTGCTGCAGCATTTATTTGCAATTTACTTTGTACGATAACTTGCGATTGATGTGATGTAATCCAGCACCCTCATCAACTGCACTGGAATTGCATAGTGCAGTTAGGCTTTGTTTTTTTCTATTACTTTTTTTATTTTTTCTATTTTATTCCGATTGTGCTATCAGTGTCATGCCACTAAACAAAGTATCATGTCAGGCCTCTCATAGAGCAGTGCAATAATTTGTGTTGATAGACCACGGAAGCAGATATCACAAGTGACCTCTGATCTACACACAGTAGAGAATACTTCCCACTCACTCTGCATATAAGAGTGAGGTCCGTCATACAATATCCGCAACAATATTTTAATGTTATTTCATAAAAAAATTCCTTGATTAAGTTTTGAGCTAGCTGGTTTAGGATTGGGCAAAGACATTGCCCACTTTTCACCCAGGTAACAGACTTCAGTTTTGTTTTACTTCACTTGAGAACCCGGTTTAATCAAATACAAAAACTTGAAGTCAAATCCAGGATCTCGCTGATGCCAGCTCAGCGCTTTGACCATTGAGCCACCCGACCACCTCTAGCTTTAACAGTACGTAAAGTCTGTTGTTCATCTGATATACAGTGCATTCAAGGCTGCAGTTTAAATCTGATAAATATTGTGAAGGGCAGGGCCAAACAGAACAAATTTATGGTTGTTTTCTTTAACATAACGGAAATGGCCATGGAACATGGATACCTAAGGCTCTACTACCCTGTAATGTTCCTGCGGGAATCATGATTGTTACATGGGTAATTTCCATGTGAAATCCTTTTTATTCTAATGGGGGTTTAACAAGAATTCTACCATTAGAAGTTTATGTATCTCAGTCAATCACTGGTGCAGGTTGAAAACCACACTCTAGATGATCTCCACGTGGCCAGCTAGGCCCCCAGAGGTCCTCACATCTTGCTTGATCACCGTGCAAAAACTGGGGAAGTATCGGGCCAATTTCACATGCTAATGCATCGGCCATGCGTTTCATTGGTGATTCTGGGCAATGCTGGCTGGCTGAAATGTTGAGAATTTCCCCAGCTCTACTCGTGAAAGATATTCTGCAATGCATTTTTTGCAATGCTTCTCGACCGACAGTGTTTGCACGCAATGTATTTTTTTTTCAATGTCAGGAACATGCTGACCTCCACCTTGTGGTGGTTACATAAACAATGACATTTATTTATTTGATACAGCTTCTTAGACGACCGTGTGCATCCATGGGCAGCAATTTAAACAAAAGGCATAAGTCCACAGGTTTCATATATCGAAAGTAAGCAATACTTAAGTTTCAGTAAATAACACTGAAGTGGTGAACATAACACCAGATTATTATTTAGAGTGCATTTTAAATGGGTCAATGTACTTTCAGGCGTTGGCATAATCAAAATAGGAAAAGGCTTATGGTCTGGTCATTAACACAGCCACGATGTTTTCTCCTGATTGTGCTTTGCACGACTCAAATTTCACTTAAGATTGACCCGGTGCCTCAAGAGGTCAGATTTCTGTGCTGGGCAGCACTGAGATCCTGGGTTCGAATCCAGGCAGACCCTCGTCATTAAACTAGGGTTCTCAAGTGTAAAGAGTTGTTGTTCTCGCTTGGGCACCAATCACTGCACACAACACCATCGCGTAAAAATTGGTTCTGCAATATGACTAAATCCCAGCTCTGAGGATTAAAAAATATTCATTTAACATTAATGCAACGGACATTACTGTCAGTGGCATGGTGGGAGGGAGAGTAGTGGACTATTGTAATTTTGAGATCACTTGAAGTGATATCAGAAGTAGTTCTGTGGCGTCTAATTCCTTGGGCCATTTTCTAACATGAAGGGGTAAACTTCTCTGCGAGATATCCAAATGGACTTTTAATATCATATAATACCGACAGCACAATTCGAATACAATTGGCAATTTAAAAAAATATATTAACATGCAAAAGTAGTCAACCCCAATTTCTTTGAATTTTTAAGAACGTAAATCTTGACTTAAAGCTTTCGTGTCTGCAGGAAGTCATATTCTTGGGTCTTTCGGTAAAGTCACGTAGATAGGTTCAAAGAAAATAACAGAAATAACAAAAAACTACGACGTTTCGATCGCAACACAAGCGGTCGTCTTCAGGAAAAGGGTGGTTCGCTTCTAAGGCAAACTGTTTATCAGGGTTTGAAATGGGCGTAGCCCAAATGTCAGCAGCCAATGATAATGTAAGTGGAGGACAGCCAACCCGACAGTGGTTGTTTTTCCACCAATCAAAGGGCTGCCAGGTGAATATTTGCATGTTAAAGAGAGATGAACATGTTAATGGCAGATCGCAACGCCGCAACCAAGGGGTCGGTGTGCTTAGTGAATGTGAAAGTGCAAGTTTGAAATGGGCGTAAAGCACTTCTTGCATCGGAAGGTGGTAGGATGGGAACATCATAGTCCATTATGACTTAAACTGGTTGATACCATCCTTCCTTCCAATTATTGCTTTTAATAACTTATTTGCAAAATGTGTGTGGGCTCTGAGTGATGTATTAATGAATGTTCCTTTTTCAGATGATTTATTTTACTCGAGGTGGCAGAATCACCCTTCACGACAGACTGGAAGGAAAGGCCCTCGCCCTTGTCGCCTTGCCTATGCCACATGTGGTGGCATCACCTTGGGATCCAATATACACTTTTGGAACCAATGACCAATCGATATTCATTAAAGGTAACCGGCTTTTTGAGTCGTTTGATTCCAAAATAATCTGCTCCAGTGAATTCAGACATCACTTACGTATTGTGGTGGAACATGCTATGTGGTGCTTTGTGGATGCAGTTGGTAGTTCATGCTGCTATCATTGCGAGATACCCATCTGCAGTATTGAGATGGCTTTTAGGTTTTTTACCTATCTGCATATTTTGTAGTGTTATCTTTAGGCGTTCCGGATTTCTCCCACGTGCAATCATTCTCAAGAAGAATTAGCCAAACATCCTGTGCGGGACAATCCATAAAATCCTCAAGCATCACTTGAGATAGTCCTGGGTAAAGGCCTATTATTAAAAGGAGTTATAAAACATGGCAAGCAGGAAATATGTTCCCATATCCGGCATTTAAAATCCTGACTCTCTCTGCCATCACTACGATATTATTGGGTCAAGAATAGGATTTTAGATACCATTTTCTTTGGACAATATCCAAATTGAAATAACAATAACATTAAAACAAATGACCGTGACTTATTGGTATTATTACACCGATTTTTCTTGAAAAAAAGCTATTGTATCTCATTTCTCCGTTAAGTAAAAAAATATATACATTTTATAATTTAATGCTGGATGAAGGTGAAGGCCTCCCCATGGCAATGGAAATTGTTTGACCATACTTCATCATGCTGGTCAGTACGGGTTAAGGGGGGGGGGGGAAGCGCCATAGGACTGGTTGAATTATCACTTGCCATCGATGTTTGTCGTGGCCAGTAATTGAACTCGGGGTTCATAGTGCAGTATGCAAATCATGACCACTCACAATTCAAAATAATCGATTATTTCCACTATGCAATTGGCTTGTTGAAATAATAATAATACAATTAAAGAACTATACAGTACTTTCTTAGTCTGTCCTATATGGCTGACTCACCGGGAAACCCAATGCCTCCACATGTCACGGTTGTACACCATCACTCGGGGTTCTTCTCACGTAACCCCTGTAGATGCGATATCCTCCTGCACTGCTTGGTTCCAGCTCATCAACAGTCCTCGTCTTTGTTTACCATTTGTTGTGACCCACATGAAGCCCTGATGACTTATTCTCACCAATGCCATGCGGTATACGTGGCCCATCCAGATTAGGTGGTGTTGTTCAATGACCGATGTGATTAATAGATCATTGGTGGGTTGACGGACGTCCTCGATTGCTATCATGTTCTTCCAGGATATGCATGGAGTATTTACCTCGTCCATCTATGTTAGGCAGCTTCCAACTCTTTTGCGTGTGCCACAGACAATGCCCATTTACAAAAAGTAGTGTAGATAGCACTATTGCTCATTATAATCTAACTTGTCAGTATGAACCCTTTGTATATGTTGGTAAGTTTCCCAAATGTGGCATTTGCCTTTAAAAAAAACATGTAAAATTCTGTCATTCCATTGGTGGAGATGTGTCTTCACAGATAGCAGAAATCATGAGTATCTCTTTTCCTTCCACAGAGACTTTCCAATTTTCATGACATTTTCTTGTCTGCATTTATAGTGATCCAGCCTTTTCTGCCTCGAGTTCAACTCTTATTGTTGTTTCTATCAAACCAAACCTTGACTCTAGGACTGTGATGTCACAAAACATATCCAAAATCACACAATCTCTGTTGACCCTTGTCAAACCAGTTACTTATTGATTTGGTGTGGATTGGCTGCGGATTGCTGATACTGATGCTGCTCCGCTCATCACCCAGGCAATAGTGAGAGCAAAGAGTAGTGGTGACAAGATGCAGCACTGCTGAATGCCTGTGCAAATTTAAATAAAATGCCATAGTCTATGGGTCTGCAGTGGTTAGACTTGTGCTTCAGAGTAAGTTGGACGCTGGGTTAGATTCCCGACAAGGGGGCCTTTCTGTGTGGAGTTGTATGTTCTCTCCGGGTTATGCAATGGTTTCTGCTTTTCTCTAATCGCGATACAAATAAAAACAATGTCACTGGTATTGGCCAAACAACATCCCAATGCTGAAGATTATCCGCAAAATACTATACAGCACTCAGTTGGGATTACACATAGCAACATCGCTCCGGGCTGCTTGTAAAACTTAGCAGGGCATTGCTGATAAAGAGTCCTGAGACTCAGTGAGGCTTGCCTAGGTCAACAAGTGTAATAATCATAAAAATTATGTAAACTCAGTTTTAACTGCACAGTGACTTATTTTTTATAGGTTTTTCATTATCTTCTCTAATATCAGGTATGCCATAGCTCCTCGCTATATTCCACATTAAATCTGGGACTCGCATTATCTGTTTTGTTTTCCTGAATTAATGGAGTTGTTTAAAACTGGCTTCTGCCACAGAATGTATTCATCAGGAATTTGTTGCGGTCTAAAAATATATTAATAAACGGCGTGTCTGCTTTTTAAAGTGTCAGTCGTGACTATTTTCTGAACAAAATGTGTAATAGACATAAATTGGGTCAATGGGTGAGAACACAGTGAATAAAATGTACCAAGGCCAAGTTTAATGCTCATTAAACTATGCTCATTAAATATGGGAATTGGACACTGTGATAACATGTTTTTCAAATTGTGGTGTTGTAGGTGTGACCCAGAGCGAAGAAGTAACTTTGCCCAGCAGTGAATCCAGTGGCTTTCTCTTCGTCTTTCCACTTCGCTCCATTGCGGATCTGGACAGCTACCGCCAATCAAGCTGGAGTTGTGGCTCTTGCATTCAGCACATCCTGTGGGACAAGAGATGCGAGAAACTGCTCTTGGAAAGGTTGATGCTGCCAATCCATAAACTTTATCAAACACTTACATACCACAGTATAGTTTAACACGTAGGCTTTCGCGACCAATATTATTCATAATCAACGTTTTTGGGTTAGATTGCGTTATTTATAAATGTGTCGTAACCCTCCACCACCCGACACGGCCAATCAGCAAAAAAGTGTCTCGTTGACAAAAGACAAATAGTTCACTGCTTTAGCCCAACGGTGTGTTGAAGCGTGAAACCACAACATTTACAATTTTTGAGTACGACGTTTCGCTGGTAATTGCATCCAGCATCATCGGGCAATTCGCCAGAATGGTGAGGCTCTGCTCTTGCTCCCGGTTACAATAACCTCCCTCCTCAGCCTCAAATCGTTGCACCCGATGAGTTAAATGATGACGTCACCCTGCTGCTGCTCTATTTCCCCGGACACAATGGGAACAATTTTGGCACAGCCGCGTCCTGATGAGTCCTAATGACGAAGCCGGTTTAATAGCTGCCTTGTTTTCCCATCTCTTGCCTCAATTACAAATGTCACAATGTCAGCTCTGCCAAGTCGTGGCTGTGTGATGGTTAACGGTAACGTCAACCTGACATGCAAAACCGGACTGGAATCCCAGTTATGTTTTGCTGTTTGAGACACATCTTTGCATTTACGTTATTTGTTAATGGCCTGTACGTACTTTATTTCTGGCTGTGGAATTGGCTCTTCATTAAGAAAAAAACTGTTAGGATTTGGTTTTGTTACCCACTTCACATTTGGGTTATTACACAAATTATAGTCATTTTGTGTTTTTTCCTCAAACTGAGACTTTAATTGTTGTCATTTTTAGCATACAATCGTTTGCAGAGAACGATGGAGAAATGGAAGAACGTTGGAGCACCTTACACGCTCTAGTTAAAGAGACACCGTCGTGAAGACCCGACAGGGTAAGTAGCTTTCCATCGGAGGCAAAGTATTTTGTGGTGTTCTCAAACCTTTTAGGCTCTCAACCACATGGGCTTAGAGCAGGAGTCGGTAACCTGTGGCTCTGGTACCGCATGCGGCTCTTTAAGGACTCTTTCGTAACGTTATCAACGTGCATTGAGGCTCTTGAAATACTGAGTAAATTTTTTTACAAAATTCTAAGAATGTATCTTGTTATTCTGGTTTCTGATCCCTGGCTGAGAGCGTTGTGTTGTGCTAAGTGCTTAGTGGCCGGGCAATAGCCACTCTCTGCTCGATTTCAACTCTTGCACTGTGTGAAACAGGAGCGAGTAAGAATACGTCACAGGGCAATTATTCAGTGCTTGACTAGAGACCAGAGAGTCGTGCGGTACAAACTATATTCCATGACAATTGTTGCAACACATTGTAAGTGAATGACATCTTTCGAACAGTTAGAAAATTTTTGACTTAAAACTTTCGTGACTGCAGGAATTCATATTCTTGGTTCTTTCGGTCAAGTCACGTAGATAGAAAACAACAAATAAAAATAATAAAACTAAAAATAAACATATTTAAAAAATTATATATTGAAAGTTAGGAAAAGTGGGCTTGGGCAGGTACATTGCTAAAATGAATGATGGCCAATGGTCAAGAAAGTGGTAGCGAAAGAGTGGAACATAAGACGAGGTTTTACCCTCTCTGGCAATAAATCAGGAGGTGGTAATCTGTTACAAACACCAAATAAATACCTTTTGCAAGGAATCGTCTGCCTTAACCACACGTACTTGTGGTGAACATGCAAACAAACCCATTCTTATTTTTCATACGATGACACTGGCAAAAGGGCCCAGACAGAATGGAACATGTCTAAGAGGATGCCCACATTTGGGATGGAGTACTGAAATAAGCTTGTGTGCAGGTGCGAGGCAGATCATAGTTATTACGTCGCAAGGTCAGGAGATGTGTCGACGGCTAAGGTGGGCCTTCATCCAGCAGTGGTTTGATCACGGCTAATTCGTATGATGAAACATGGTGTGGCTGCTGTCATGCTGTGACTTTGGCCAACAGTGATGGGCAGTGGTTGGATTGTTTCCGTCTAGTCTGGGAACATTGGGTCACTTCGCATAAAAACCGTCTTCCAGCAAAGCATGAAATTACCGTATTCTTTGGGTCTTTCAGTAAAGTCACGTAGATCGGTATAAATCAATACAAAAATAATAAATATAAAATAAAGTCGAAATACTATATTTATTTATGTGTACCTATCTACGTGACTTTACCGAAAAACCCAAAGAATATGAATTCCTGCAGTTACAAAAGCTTTAAGTCAACATGAAATTACCGTTGACACTATTCTTACATGTGCTGCCTACCATAGATGTATTAAACTTGATTTAAGCAGGGTTAAGAGTAAAGTTTTACAAACAACCTAACATGATATATAGACCATACACAAGTCTGCTTATTGTACATGTAATACTTGACTTGTTTCTCCGAAATCATGTACAATTCTTCATGACATTTGAAATGCCCTTGTCTTTTGCAGGCAATGTCACTACATTTTACTTTGGCAATCGCAGAATATTATCAAATTATTAATCATTTATGAGCATTATGTACCCTCACTGTACATATGAAGGTACCGTAGATGCAAACACTTGGTTGACTGATTGCTATGAGGTATAAATGTTTTCTTATTTCAGTAAAGATTTAAGTTGTACAAATTCAATATCTATTTTTATAGCATTTACTCGCTGTATTAATCTGCAGAAAATGTACGAATTAATGATGCATGAAGGAAAAAAACACATAGCAATGCATTGTGCAGTTGCACATTATGTATCTAGAGATTTCATCAGGAATGTTGCCATTATTAACAATCTGCTGCAACGGCATAATTGTATTCAATAAATGTTATTACTGTGTATATGTTGGCTTGCTAAGCAGCTTACTTTGCAACAAATGTGGTGGGGGTGGTCATGAAATTTACCAAGCACGAGGAGGGACCTATTAAATGTATGGACACAGCCACTGAGAAAAATGTAAAACACTGCTACAGTACTGGGTACAAGCTTTGCTTATCACGCCTCAAGACAATTGCGGTATTTGTAAAAGGTTGGTAGAAGCCTCCTCTCGCCACTTGGTCACTCTCGACCGTCCCTGCCTCTCTCTGCATCAGTCCCGATCTGGCACAGCCAGGAGTGACAAGTGCGGCCAGCTGCAACGCTTCCAGTCGCCCACGTTGTTTCACTGCACGCCTCTGGCATCCCGTCTGACAAAGCCACCGAACAAAAATTCACCCCTCGGTAATCACATGGATTTAACTTTTCTTGGTTCTTTCGGTAAAGTCACGTAGAAGGAAAATAATAAAAATAAAACATAATAAAATAATTTTCACGTTTCGGCCACAACGCAAGCAGCCGTCTCCACCTGAAGACGGCTGCTTACGCTGTGGCCGAAACGTCGTGAGAATTATTTTATTGTTTTATTTTTATTTTCCTTCTACGTGACTTTACCGAAAGAACCAAGACGATGAATCCCTGCAGTCACGAAAGCTTTAAATCGAAATTTCACATGGATTTAAGTTGCTGAGGCCATGACTACACTGCAAGCCGCTTCTACAATTCCTTTAACAGGGCTGATCTGCCCATAGGACAACCACTGTGGACACCCAACCCGGATTTGAACTTTCCAATTGCACCTCGAGCACTGCTCCACCCAACCAGATTAACGTTTGGCTTTATGCATCTACACTAAAATTGCTGTTCTGTTTAACATAACCTTAGGAAGTGCATTTTTTAAAAGTGAAATTTACTCAAGCAAATACTCTGAATTCATTCATAAGCATTTTGTTTGTGTAACAAATAAACATTCTCATTGCTTTCGTTGCATTATGTATTTGAATAAAGTACTCAAATTTACTTAGAAATTTTCACAACTTTAAAACCGACATGTCCTTTTACCAGTGGGTCCAAATGCGTTCTTACACTGACAATGTTAGTGTACAACACTGATTAATTGACTTCCTCTTAATATGCAATTTTTAAATAAAGTTGTTTATTTTATTTTATTCGCTTTCGGGGGAATGACAATTTTATTCAACATCCGCTTGCAGTGGTTTGTTTTTGTCACTCAGAACACTTCCATTCATTCCATTTTTTTTATGTTTGATATCCAGTCGGATCCTGGTCTTCCTATTCCCGTAGCAGCACCTTTGAGTGTTGCCTCCATTCTTTTGCAGCCAGTCAACATTCTTCATTTGTTTTAATTCATTATTAAAAACAAACATTTACAGGTGACGTGTAATTTAATCACCTAAATATACCCATGAATGTGTCACTCAGTACGTTTTGCACAATATGCAGCTTATGGAGATTGTTTTTTTTCTAGTTTCAATTTCTACAATAGGGAAAACACAATTTCAAGTCCGAGAATATATTTACAAATATACGGTTATCCAGTTAGGACACCCTCTAGATTTCTACACTCAAACAGGCGATGAAGAACCAAGTATGTCAGGAGAGTTAGCATTTGTTCATTGTATTTTGATTAGTGGGCTATAGGCAAATTGTATTCTGCAGGTTACATTTTTATGGGGCATCTATAAATGGGTCACGACTTCCCTAAAACCATCTCTGCGACCTCAACCCCACAACTTTGGTATCGAAACAGACTCCTCGTGGACCACATTTTTAATTTTCACTTGTCGTCCCCAACAGTTTTCACAAACCCACCGGCCAGCATGAAGTACGGCCAAAGAACACCCATGACCAACTGTGTGGGGAGCCCTTCATCCAGCAGTTGAACGTTAAAATACCGCGTAATTTAAGGTATTACATGATACGTAGAAAATTATAATTATTTGCCAATCCACAGCTGGACGAAAATAATCATGGAGCTTGTTTGATCATACTTCACCACACTGGTGTCCACATGGCAGTTAACCATACGTCACCATGCTGGTCAGCGCAGGTTGGCGAAGGCAGGCCCTGGACCAGTTCAGATAGCACTCATAACTGTCATAAAGCAAACTCAAGAGGGTTGCTGCAAGTTTCCTAAATTACACCAGACCATGTTTAAAATTGTCAAGATTCAGTGTAACTGTTAAAGGCACTTAACTAGCCAGCGAAAAGCAACTCATTCTGAATGGCTGCCTTGTCATTTTAACTCTGAATTCCTTAAACATTAGGACAGATGATAGGAGTCATTTTAACACGTAGGATTTTGCGACCAATATCCATAATACAGGTTGTTTTGGGTTTTAACCCATAGATATAAATGCCGCTAAACCCGCCACCACCCGACAGCCAATTAGTAAGGTTTGTCGCGTTAACAGATGAGTCAAATTTATACTCACCAGTCAAACTTTTCACTCAATGTTTCTTTTTAATATTCAAGATTGAAGACTAAATTGACCCTTTTGTTACATTATATTCAACCCTCAAAACCAAATTGTAAAATTTAAATAAAACACATGTTGACATTAACAGCATCCAGCAATCGACACGTACTACACAAAATGTTTTATTTCAGTAAAACACTTGACAGACATTTCACAACAAACCATTAAACAAGTTTTTCAAAGAATAATTGTGAATAAAATAACCAATAAAGCCATCTTGTCACAAACGTTCCGAGACAAACCTAGTTTCATCATCATACAACTTACACCAGAATTCAAACAATCTAAATTCCAAATCGTTGGAAAATAATGTACGGTAAAAATAGTTGTTGCAAATTGCACACATTTCACTCAGTGTGCATTCTGCTATGACAACTATTTAACCAAAGCTGAAAAGAGTACACGTTGTCGTCAATATGAAACTGCGTTTAGAAGGGTTCAAAAACGCATGGTGTCGGCACTGCAGGTCACAGCAGGCAGGGTGAGAGATCACCGTCGTCTCCTGTCCGGGCTTCTGCTGCGCCGACGGCCACCAACCCTACACAATAACGTCACGAAATGCAATCGGGTTACACACCTCCAAAGCGAAGGCTCAACCGTTTCAACTCAACTGAATCTTAAGAGACACTTGAATACCCACCAACATAACCTGTGTAAAACTCTGGTTGAGCTCTAGATAAAAATCCATAACCAAAAAAACACATGCTCATCTTAATTTGTGAGTGTGATCACGTAGGGTTATTTATACATGCTATCACTTCAAATGACAAACTATTATGTGCATTTCCATGTATTTAGATGGTAGTTGTATGTCTATCAGTATTGATACGTTTACGTGAAATATTTTATGAATAAAAAAACAACTATTTAAATCGTCACAGTGGATCTCACTTAATCCCACGTACACATACAATGGTACATGCTACTGGCAGCATTGAATAAATCATCTTTCTTGGCTTTAACATCATAGCTGACACGATTGAACAATTATTAAATGTGTGTCCCTCATCTAAGTCAACAGCCATGTTCCATCTTAATTTTGGAGCTTTCGTGTTTCTCTAACCCCTCCCTCTCTCTGCCTCCGCCCCCTCTGTCTATTTAAGGCCACCCCACAGAGACGATCACCCCTCTCTGTACCTGTGTTGCTCTCTCTGTGTATCTTGGTGATATCTGTCTGCTTATATGTCTGTCTGTGGTTTTCTGGTTAGATTTTGTCGCTATTTCATTATACCTGATGATGATTGCTTGTGTTGCAATCGAAACGTCGTATGCTATTATTTAATTTATTATTTTATCTTTATACGTGACTTTACCGAAAGAACCAAAGAATAAGCCATGTTCCACTGTGCTACAAAACTTGCTCTGTTCACTGCTTAAAACAAAAAAACAAGTGGCTTGATGGACATGACGAGTACAAATTTAAATAAATGCTTCTTCATGGCTGTGCCTTTCCAAGAAGGAAGCAGCCATCCACTATCAAATTAAAATACTCATTGCACAAGTTGTATACAAACATTAAACTAAACTGTACCTTCTCTTGTGCTTGGGAGGGCCTCGGACAAAAGCCCAGTCAACGGCAATTTTCTGGCCCAGGATGTCTGCCCCATTGAGACCCTCCATGGCAGCCTGAGCCTCCTTGAATGTCTCGTATTCCACCAATGCATATCCCTGCAGAAAATATGTTAACAGCACCTTTAAACGTGTTGCACTTGTTTTACTATTACGTCTACATGTGTGACTTAAGAGATTCATTGCATGCAAGAGAGAAAAATCTCTGCGTTAAGTTGAAACATGGATTGTTGTTAAATTGTCTTGACTTCACTTGCTAACAAACAAGTTAACAACAAAGATGTACATAAAATAATTAATTGTCAATTTTACTTTTGATGACAAGAATTAAAAATGTTTTCCTTTTACAATGTATATGTAATTTCTTCCTCTGCTCGTATTTTTTCCCCCAAGCCTCCCTTGTGGCAAAAATGTCCAACAGAGGTGCGCAGGTTACAGCAAACAAGGATGTTAGTCTTGGAGGCACCTTGAGGAAACCTGTGCGACGGTCCAGGTTTAGATGCACATTCTTGATCTCGCCAAACTCTCCAAACTTGTCATGCATGTCGTCTTCTTGGGCCTCCTCGTGTACGCCCGTCACGAAAAGGATCCAGCCTTCTACCGCTGGAGAGCAGTCAACGAAAAATGCACTTCAACACCACACACATTTGTATTGCATTTATTTAAGTCATAATGTTATCTCAAAGGTAAAGATACATTACCACTTAGCACCTGAAGTGATTTGGGAATTACACAGAAAAAAATGCAACTTTATTTTTTTACTAAACATTTGTAATTGGTTACTTTGACAACTGGGATAACAGTGGTAGCAATCACAGCCATTTAGGGCTAAACTTGGGCTCAATTTTGGCGGATATAAGCGACAAAAAAGTGTAAATACGTAAAGCTGTGTAACTCAACTATAAAATCAATTAATATCTTGGTCAGACATTCATCATGAAAGAGCTTTTTTAT